TGGCATTAGTCTTTATCCTCGATCGTCAAATCCCAACTTGACTTTCAAAATCGTCGCTCGATCCCTTCCACCATAGTGTTTAACCTCCCAAGTCTGACGATTGTGTTGTTTCCGTGGATGCTCAAGGCCTGAGATGCCAACTTTGTCAAGGTTGATCAAAGCCCAAATCGAGTTTGATCTCATCCAGGTAAGGTTTGCTCTTTTTTTCCCCCTTAATCTATTTCAATTTATTGCATTTTATTGATTTCTTACCCAGCTTCCATCGTAAGGTTGGTTTTGATATTCTCTGGATTTATGTTATGTTCTGTTGTTTTAACTTCGGTATAATGTTGATTTGTTCAACTCATCTTTTCTTTTGGTACATCTAAACAATGTTCGTGTATTTCCCTTGGTTATCTACTTTTTCCTATTTGGGGAATGCATTTCACTATTTATTGTCTACCATATTTCCAAAATTTTTTGTTTGTTGCATATCAATTCAACTATTGGTTTGCCTATTCTGTTATGAAAAGTCTCACTTAAGACGTCACTTTTGTCTTATATTTCCAATGCATTGGAAATTTACATTCACCTGCTGATTTCAAATTCTGCCAATTTTATTTTCCCAATTCTTCATCATAATCTATCTAATAAATATTGGTCAAGTTATTGTGTTTTCAAAATGATTATTCTTGAGAATAAGCTACGAGTTTTAGCAAATTCTTTTGCAGTTGTTTATCTTTTCGAATCTCTTACATCTTTATCGTCCTTTCTCACTTGAAATTGGATATGTTAATTCAAATGGTTTAGGTTTGTTTTCATTCAAAAGATTGAAGATGTAATTCTCTGTGCAAAGTTGTTAGCACCAACTGCCCTGAAATTTGAAGAAGCTAGACGAATCAAATAAGAGGAAATGATCTGTGTCTATAATTTATGGGATGATCCCACTAAATCCAATGAAATTCATATCAAGTTAGTTGGTAGTGCCAAAGTGGTTGATGCTCTCAAGGACCTAAAATACAAGGTATTTATTTATTTTTATTTTTATTTTTTTGAGATTAGTTTCAATTAAACTTTCTTATAACATATGCTAATTTTATTTCATAGAAACAAGCACATGGAGTCTTGACTTGTATTGGGTTTGTAGGCTAGAGTAGCATGACAGAGGTTTGACCTATAGCTTTCAGGGCATAGCATCATTTGCTAAGATAATTGAGATTTTAGAAAGGTTTAGTGTTCTTGGGTTTAGTTAGATGATACCCACATGAATAGTTGTATTTGCATACCACCTTTGTTTTAATTTATTAGAATCTAAATATACTTCTAAATGCATATTAGTTGTACCATTATAATATTCAGTTCATAACAAAGTTAGAGATAAAGGGATTCTTTAGTATGATTCAGTTCATTAGTCTTGATTGAGTTTATATGGAAAATTAGGAGCTTTGCCTATTTAATCTGGTTAGTTTATAACAAAATGTTCAAATGCGTCTTTGACATCTCTCTAATTTTGGGTTTTTTCTGGCAATAGCTGGTGGTAAAAGGGTTTGTTTAGCTTTTAGCGTTTTTAATGTTACAAAATTACTTCACGCAAAATAGTTAATTGGTTTTAGCTTTGATGCTTCCGGCTTTCCATTTTTTTCAGCAATTATTTTACTTTCTTCATCAATTTGTTACATGGTTTGTAAAGAAATGGTGAAGCTATCATGAAGCTATCATGGTATAAAAGTGCCATCTTATGTAGCATCATTGGTTTAACATGAAGAAATCCCCAAAGATTAACCCTTGAAATATGCAATAGCTCAGGCTTTAGTTTTCTGCTTATACAATTATTATCTCATGCGCAAGACAAATTAGTTAATTATAACTGTTTTTAAATGATTTTCACACTATCCTAACAGTTGATATATGGGATGGACTTTTTTAAAAAAAATTTAATTGTAAGATTTGGTATGTAATAAGGTTCGTTCTCCATTTTTTGTAACGATTACTCTGAAAGAATGCAAATTTGTGTAGACATGCAAGAAGTTAACAAATCAAACTAGTTGGTGGAGAGCTCTCAGTTATAATTGTTATTGATATAAAGCTATGGCTGATGCACGCTAAAGTTGCTGAAAAGTTTGTATGTTGCTACAATTAAATAATACTTGTTGGTGATACTACTCATTGACTCCCTTGTACTTGTGGTTTTGGTTAGTAACTCTATTTTTCTGAGCAAAAAACATTTTGATTATTTAGAATTTTCCTTATCTTCTAATCAATAGTTTGTAACTGAATTTTCTTGGATGCACGTAAACCTAAGGCTATGGGATTTACCATTTTACCTTGCCTCTGTTTATTTCCTTCTCCTTTATGGGTATCATGGAGACAACAAAATGCAACATGTAAAATGCAATATATAATTACATATGTTAAAGGTGGTTAGAATTGAGAATTTGTTTACAAGTATAGATGCAAAATCATCCAGCAGTATAAAGTATATATATGTAGGATACTAGGATTCATTATTGACTTTACTACTTTTTACATTGACTTTTTAGTGACTATGAATTGATAAGAGCATTTATGTATTGGTGAAGAAAGTTTGAACATGATCTAAAAGATACTTAACAAGAACAGCACTTTGCATAGAAAGATAGCTTGGATAATGACAAGAAATGCTTCTTTAATTTTTGAATTAGTATAAAGAGATCTCTTAAAGAAAGTTTACTTGCTATTAATTCTATTCTACCTACTTAACTGTACTTTTATTTGAGCTTTGCTACAGGCTTCATAACTTTT